TTATATTATGTTTATTAAAGTAACAACTAAAATTCTCATTTACAAATTCATTGTAATTGCCTTAATGTGCCTTAATATATTAGGTTGCCCGTGTAATATATATACTTTCTATGGAAATAAGTTGATAAAATAAAAATATTTCTTTACCATGATAATTTAAGATAATTTAACAACTAGCCCCCGTATAAAATTAAACAAAAAAAAAAAAAATCTTCTTTCAATAACAAAATGGCTATATTTGTGTAATTTATCCAATGAAAATTTCTAACAACAGAATATGATGATTATTACTTATATACCAAAGTATCGCCAGTAAAATCAATATTATTGACATGTAAGAATGAAAGAAGATTTTGTATAATATTATAGTGACGACGATATACTTGTCATATTTCGGTAAATATATTTAGATTACATATACATCAGTCATTTCACATGACTTACGCAAGTATCTATGTTAGATCTTGAATACCGCATGGCACTTATCAAATTAGAAAATAATTGCTTCAATTCGAAATTAGTAAACAATTTTAACATGACTATTAAGTTAAGATAACCGAGGAATGAGGCATTTGAAAATTTGAAAAATAGCGCACATATCTGAAAAATACAATTATCTCAACATTTTGCTGTAAATTTTTCACAATTCACTGAAAATTTTGTATATATAACACCAGATATTTGAAAGCTTAAGAAATATTTAATAAGCAATTTTATTTTTCAAGTTTTTATTAAAAATAAAGGAACTACTATATAGATAATATAACCAAGTAATGAAAATTTCATAAATCTCATTAGCCAATTTAAAAAATAATAACTGCATTTAAAATTCCTTTATTATCGACATTTCGAATTACAAAAGATTTTATATTTTACACATGAGATATAAATATTAAATCAATGTTTAAAACCAATTATAAAAACAAAAATAAATAAAAAAAAAAAGAAAGATATAATTACTAGGATATTATATATTAATCGTAGTAATAAAGTCATGTAATTTAGTTAAACAATTGCAATTTAATGCATCTTAGTGCAACAAATAAAATATTAAAGAATTTATATTATGATATATGGCAGAAAGAGCATCTGCTTTTCGTATTAAATGAATCGAGCTGCTCGTAAAGAGAGGCTTTTATCGAATTTCTGACACGCACCTTGATTTGCGCTTCATGAAAAGAAAAATAAAGAAATCGTTTTTCTCAATGTCTTGTGAAAAAAAAAAATAAATAAATAAATAAACGACGACATCGACCATATATACAAAGAAGCGCGTATGCAAGAGACCGAATCAGTTCATTTTCGCAAGTCGACTTCCTATTACGCAACTACTGTTTTTTCTCTTCAACCTCTCTGTTTGAGCCCGTAAAAGGTAGAAGGAAATATTTTAATTAGAAATTCATTTCACTTAACAATGTGCTTAACTGTATTAGTGATATTAGAAACCAATTGCTTTCCATTATTGTAGGACTTTACGATCGCATCTATTCTTACATAATACATTCCACTCTTAGCCAATGGTATGTTTAACATTCTTTCAGCTTTTCGATTATTTATTTTGTTCCTTATAACATTTGTTTTCAGATATTAAACAAGTCTGAAGACAGTCGACTATTTGCTCCGCGAGGTGTGAAATTTTTACGTTTCTTTATTAACAAGAATAGTCAGTAGAGTTGGGGAGCTTGAATGGAAATTCTCACTTTGACAATTTGTGGAATATGGAAAATTAAATTCAACTCTTTATCGGTTAGAAATCGAAATCTATAAATATGCAATAACAATTATTATCAGATTACGATTATGAGATTTAATGACTTACCAATTATATATATATATATATATACATACATAAACACATAAGCATTATACAACCCTTACAACTTCATCGTTGATTATAATTTTATTATCTATACGACAGTTTTATTTCATTTACTTCTAAAAACGTCTAACTAACTTTCCATGCATTTTTATCAAATCTAACGATAATTTCATCTTTTTTATGGAGTGGTGTATTCATACTAAGTAACAAGCTCTTGCATGGAAAAATTCTGTATCTAAAAGAGGAAATTACTCGGTTAATCGAAAATGACGTTTATCGAATAGAGGCAAATAATTTACGTAACGCCGACCGAGGGAGGATCGCCACATTTCACACAAGATCGTAATTTTTAGTTTTATTCGCGCACCCATATGTGAAAATAAAAGGTAATAAAGGGAGTGCGATAAAAGCCGCGGTCTCATGACGAAAATGTCGAAGGTTTTTGCGGGGCCACCGTAAAGTCGATATTGCGAGGAGGGAATGCATTATGACGTAGTAGGTCTGAAGCGCCAGAGCTCCGACTAGACACACCAAGCACTAGGCCATATGGTGGACTAATCTAAATATAAAACACATGTCGCGTGCGTCGCTCACCTCTCCTCCTTCTCCTACCCCCCCCTACCCCCCTCCCCCCGCCCATTGACCGACATATATGATTTTCGTACGATTCGTAAGATATTTCAAATTGAGCGGAGGCTGTTATTTAACGGGCAATTATTGATGAGGAAGAGGAATGGCCGAACGGTGCTTGTGTTGAATGAAGGCAAAGCAGCCGGACACATCGAGAATGATAATCGATCGTTATTTTCTTCGCGACGATCGCAAGATTTGCTAACAATGCGCGTAGGAATAGCAGCGAGTATGCGCTCAAATGTCCCCAATTAACGCAAAAATAGATTCTTATCAATGGTAATACAGATTTGTAACGTACGTTACCTACAGCAGATGTTACGACATAAAAGCAATGGGATTGCAGCGATGTGTAATTTGTTCTTAATTAAGTGCGTATCAACAGGTTTCTGATGGTAAATACACCATTGGGCTCGAGTATTATATTCATTTTTCATTTTTTCATTAGTTATGGTTGATTGTAGACCATACATTTTGTGAAATTATACACCCGTTCGGACCCTTTGCTCACGGAAAAGAAAAGCACAATCAACAGAAAGTTCAATTTCACTATTAAAAATGATCGGAGGAATCAAAAAATAACAACTTATTGAAGTACATGTAATTGTCTTTTAAGCGATATGTGAAACGGGCTACACGTACTAAGAAATAAATTCTTTTCCTAATTAATATACAAGTTTAAAAAAAAAAATTTAATTCCTTTTCGTCTCTTCTCCTTTGACTTTACGTAACTGTAATTTAACAACAACAAAAAATACTGTTAATTAAAGATAATGTTACTATGTTGAAAATAATGGCTTGAAATAACAACGAAACCTTAAAATGCTTTAATATTATCAAGTGAATGGTTAGGTGAAGAGTAAAAATGAATTAGCTTTTTGTACGAAAAATTAAATTAATTTTCCACAATGTTTTAGTTGTTCATAGAACACTAATTAATTGTAGCATAAGTCTATCCATTATATTACTTTATGCTGAGTTAATCGTTACTATTATTATTATCATTAATATTATGCAAACGATAACATTTATCTTATGTTGAAATTTTATGGATCATCATAATAAATCAATCATTTATTAATTGTTTTGTTAAGCATTATATATTTGAAGCATATAATTCAGGAGAGAAGAGCATTTGAAATACCAAAGTAACGGCTTCACCCGACCTCATCCGCTACAATTTCAGCTTAGAATACTGTATAATATTCACATAATTCTTAAAGATTCAATAAATAAATAAAAAGAAAAAAAAAAGAAAAAATAAAAAAAAAATCTAAATAGCATAAGCATATTATTTATTGCCAATCATTTCGTTAATGAAACTTCGGTAGGTCAAAGCAAAGTAACCGAGAACATCTGATGTCATAATTTTTTTATTGACTACAATTTTCTTTAGTATATAACTTTCACGAAAGAATTTGCATTATTATTAAATACACATTATGAAAGGTGGAGCTTGACAATATTATTTAAGCGTGCATACTAAACAGAATTGTATTACTTGGTTTTTTCATGCACATTATATAAAATATTATAACAATTTTATCTATTCAATAAATATTATACAACAGTTTTTAATTAACGGTTCTTATCGATTTTCCAGTCATTTTTCGTCAATATAAAGTTACCGACCATACCAAATAACCGATAAATATCTAAAGGACAGAGAGAGTAAACGTACACGCACGAATTTGGAAAAAAAAATAGTCTCAAACTATCGAACTCTATGTTACTTTATACAAGAGCCGACTCAAAAGACATATTATGCAACTCCTATAATTAATGATTAAAGATTTTATATACAAATTTCCATATGCAAAATGTACAAAGGCCTTACGTAATTATTTTTATTAAATTATACATTATGATGAACATTGAATCCTGAAAATCTTAATACATCCTAATAGTATTTCACATAGTTTCGCTAATTATGCTATCAATGCAGCTACCGACTATTCTATAAGCGAATATTCCTAAGCGATAAAAAGTCCGTTGGAATTACTTGCTTTAAATTCATACGAGCTTTTATACAAAATCGCACATACCACAGCTAACTTCGTTTCATTTTTCAATTGAATAAGCTGAAAAGTAAAAAACCACTCTCATAATGAATATTCAGTATGATATATCCGAACGTTAGCTATAATCAGATATGCAAGTTTCTTAATACATTCCAAGTCTAAGCTTTCTCGTTAAAAAGAACCGTAGTGGACATTTTACTCCCGTTATTCCTATTGAAGCTGCTAACTTTGATCAAATTAATTTTTAATATTACCCCTTGCTATCCTTTAAGATTGTCAAAATCTTAATTGGCAATAAAAATCATATTCATTGATATTAATTAATATTAATATTAATCCTACAATTGCTGATGGGGCAACGATAAGTGCGGCATCGATGCTCAAGTGGCCCAATAATCAATGAAATAAAGAAATAATCGTAAAGAAAATGACGAGGACGCATTATCATGAAGATAAACAGCAGCGATTTACAGCTTTAAGCTCAACGGAGAAAGAGACGAAAACTGAGATGAAAAAATGGAAAAACTCACCCCCTCGCTTCGAGGAATTAATTGTCCCGTCGACGGCGGTGGCGGTTGCAGTGGCGGCGGTCCTTGCCCCCTCTGCCCCCACCTCGGCGAGCGCAAGGAGGAGACCGAGGAGGAAGAACAGGCAGGCCGAGGTCCACTTGGCGCGGTCCCATCTACGCTCGCGCGGCGGCCTCGGCATCCTCATTCCGTCGGCTCTCGACATCTTCTCGACTTCGCACCCTCGATAGCAGCCGCCCTCCTCTCGCTCTCTCGTCCCACTCGCGGCGGCGCCTCCCTCTCTCGATGAGGACGGAGCTCAGTGAACCGGGGCCCGCTGGGGCCCGCTGCCGACCACCATCCCGGGGACTCTAGTGCTGCCGCCAGGGGCGCGGTCGCTTCCGCGCTCCAGCCTCATAAGGTGGTCTCCCACCTCCTCTAGGATCCGTCGGGATGGCCCCGGGGCCCGAGACCCGGACGCCGAACGAGTGAATCCGACAGGTACTGCTGTTGCTGATACTGTTGATAATGCTGTTGCTGTTGCCGTTGCTGTTGCTGTTGCTGCTGTTGCTGTTGCTGTTGTTGCTGTTGCTGCTGTTGATGCTGATGCTGACGCTGATCCTGATGCTGGTGATCGTCCAGCGGTTCGAGACCGCGCATCCTGAAACAGACGAGCGATTTCGGAATGTTAGTACAGTGTATGTTATTGATATTGGGAAGACGGGAATCGTCAGGGACTCGAGGATACGGAGTACTCCTTCTTTTTTTTTCACTAGGAGTCGCAGTATTGCATATCTCGAGTTTCGATATCGCGAATGAAAATGTTTGACTGCCGTTAAAAAGATTCTTGCACGGGTGTGTGATGTGCTAACGTATTCGTTAAAATTTGGCAGTTGATGAGTCTCCATTGCTGACTGCTGAATATAGCTGTCGTGTATTCGTTCAACCAAGTTTTAACTGCGACAGGAGCTTCTTAACTTTGTCGATCCGTTAGGCGTCCGCTCGTAATGCTTGCGATGTATAATGTATTGCAAAAGCTTTTTTCGCAGAATTCGCAAAAGTAATAATGGGAGAGTTGAATTTAATGTTTGCTCGATAACGATGGCTAGCTAATTCGTAATTTGTTTATGTTTAGTGTCCTCGTTAAGTAAATCTATATGAAGTACTATCAAAGTTAACGATTACGCATATTTCAAAGTACTCGAGATTTTCTTAAATCGCTAACATGTAATTAACAGATTTGAAAAATGCAAGCGTGGCGGGTTAGACTCGTGTCAAGTGCACCAATTTTTAAATTACGAATCACCAAATCAATTAAATTACGATAAATTATATATATATATATATATATATATATATATATATATCTTTACTATATTTCTCTCCTTAATAATTCATTTAACGAATAATCACTGTTTTGGTCTTTGGAAATATTCAGCTGAATTTCTTATCGTTTTATCGCCTGTAAAATAAATGTGCCTACTTGACGAGCAGCCTATTAACGGTTTATATATGCAAGTATCTTGTAAAAAATAAATAAAATGTAATACATTCAGAAGCTATAGTTGAGCTTTATTAAAATTCTTAATGGATATGATGATACGATAGATATAACGTAGAACGAGTTAATCACAATTTGTAAGCAGTTTTGCATCTTATACGCGGAGGAAAAACTACCCACCCAGGCGATCACTATCATTGCCATCAACGTACTCTCTATTACACTTGTACGTAGTTTAAATCCATTATTATCGGTTAATGCACAACCCTATGATTCGACATTAAATTATGTCCGACACTTGTTTTGGTGGTGCATGCATGCCATTCCCTTTAAAATGTATCGTAAATCAAGGTAGATCAACGGGGCAGAAGAACCGGCATGAATGGAAAGACGCATATAAAAATGAATGAAAAAAAAAATATAATGTTCGTTAAGGAATGGAATATAATACACGTTTGCGCAAAGTTTCACGTACGTAAGGCGAATTTCCTCACCAAACATGTTTTCAATGCAATGCAGATTAAATGGTTTCCAATATTCCATCAAAATAAATATTTATGCATCCAGAATCTAAGAGCAATACAATTGTTTTAATGTGGACAAAAATAAAAAAATCAATTGATAAAGATAGAAAATGACGCCTTCAATTACAAATTGAAAAATATAATTAATTTTGATAATTCACTTGAATGAAAATAAAATGATTACCAAAACTCGCATTAGATCTGTGAGAAATACGATTATAAACTTTTCCAAGCACTGTTTAAAATTTATCATCAATGAAGCTTTTAAAAACATTATTCATCGTAAAGTATAAGAAATGATGAATTTAACTTTATCGTTCGAGTCGATAATGTTTTAAAATATAAGGTTCTATCAGCATTTCAAGCATGTTTCCATGTGATATTACAATATACTTACACTGCCTCTTCTGCAGAAATTCGAAGAAAATTAACGATGACATAGTTAGTTTGGTCTGCCGAGAGTAAACTTAAAAAACTTAAAAAAAAAAAAATATATATATATATATATATATATATATATCTTTACTATAATTCTCTCCTTAATAATTCATTTAACGAATAATCACTGTTTTGGTCTTTGGAAATATTCAGCTGAATTTCTTATCGTTTTATCGCCTGTAAAATAAATGTGCCTACTTGACGAGCAGCCTATTAACGGTTTATATATGCAATCACCGGCATTTAATGGATAAAATATGCGCGTAAATAATACGAAAATGAACTCGTTAGAAAGATAGATTCACGTATTCAAAATAAATAAGGTAAGCGATGAAATCAATATCTCACTTGAGTCGGTCCATCACTGGCAAGAAAAACCTATTTGTATTAAGTGCGACAAACGAAGTGCTAAGTAATGATCATTAACAGGTGATAAACCGCATTCAGCTCGATAAGAGCCTTTCTTTCAGCGCTCAAATAAAAGCGATTCATGATATTTACACTCGACTCCGGAATTGTTTAGCTAACAAAATGCAATTACATGTAAATTGACGAAAATAAAAAAACACTCGATACCACTTAACCAAGGCATTCGCAACAAGTTAATCGCGCTCAGCTTACGCTTGAAAAACAATCTCCCGCGTATAGCAAAACCTCCCCCTCCCCCCACCCTCCGGCTACCAAACCCCCGCCGTCTGACGCCATCCCCGCCGAGGAAATAAAAAATTATTGTTTTCTCTTTCTCCCGAAGACGAAAGAAACGAGAAACAAAAAAGGAGCAAGCATGAATGAAGAAGCTAATAATGCTCGAGCACGAATACTAATCGACTCTGCGCGCGCACATTGCAAGCAAAAGTGAGTGAGCGAGCGACATGAATGAGCAAGGAAGGAAGGGGTCGGAACTCTACACGGGAACTCCCTCCACCGCTCTCCCACTCCATCACCTCCCACAATTTCTCCCGCCGTCTTCCCGCTCGCTCTCTCTCTCTCTCTCTCTCTCTCTCTCTCTCTCCCTGCCTTTGGAGCGCGGGCGCGTTTTTGCGCGAGTTTATTCTATTATGTGCTCGCGCGTAAGTTTGTCAGCGAAGGGACGAGGAGCGGGGGCGAGGGAGCGAGCGCGCACGTGTACGCCCAAGAAAGATTAATGAGCGGACGCGTTGAAGGCGTCAAATGTCGCGGATATCGTAATTCTTCGTTAGGTTGGGTGTTTTGCGTGCGCGCTCCGGCTAATGGACATTGAACGATGCGCGCGCACGTTTATGACGGATCCGCGTAGCTGGGAGAAATTGCCGATTCCCATTACGCTGCATTGTTTATCGGAGCGGGTTGTGCGCGCGCGTAGGTGCCGGTGATCGAGTCGATAGCGATCGTTTTGTAAGCCGATAGACGATTACCGATAAGCTATATTCCCTTGGGAAAATTTAAATCGACGCCCCGGATTTTTGCGGTAATCAATAGAATGCTTTTCATGGCGATAAAAGGCCCCGCGATGCGCATTAATTTTCCACCTTTGTAATACTCGGGGCGCGCAATGAAAAAGGCGTGAACTTTATTAATGTAAATTTTTTTATATAATGCTTCGGAGCCCAATATAGTCGTACCGTCAAGATAAATCGTCGACGATGTTTTAGTTTATCCAGTGCGAAGTCGCAAATAACGATATGTGACGACGACGACGACGACGACGACGACGACGACGACGACGACGACGACGACGACGACGACGACGACGACGACGACGACGACGACGACGACGACGACGACGACGACGACGACGACGACGACGACGACGACGACGACGACGACGACGACGACGACGACGACGACGACGACGACGACGACGACGACGACGACGACGACGACGACGACGACGACGACGACGACGACGACGACGACGACGACGACGACGACGACGACGACGACGACGACGACGACGACGACGACGACGACGACGACGACGACGACGACGACGACGACGACGACGACGACGACGACGACGACGACGACGACGACGACGACGACGACGACGACGACGATGATGATGATGATGATGATGATGATGATGATGATGATGATGATGATGATGATGATAATATCAACATCAATGACAATGCTTTCATTATGGGCGGTGTATATATTAGTCGATAAAATGTGGTTAGAATGAAGAGATGCTTTAATCGCTGTGTACCCAAAGAGAGAAGGCTAATTTATATTTTGTGTAAAGTGTTATTTAGCATTGCGCGATGCCGTTACATGACCAATCGACGACGATTCGCTCTTTAATAACGCGAGACTTTCAAAACGGTAATCCAGCGAAAATTCAAAATTTCAAGCTGAATCTCGAAACTTCGTCGCAATACTGTGATGCGCGAGGAGGCTAATGATAGAATCAATTTATTTAAAAGAAAGAGGTAAAAAAATGCGAAACTTCTTCGTGGTTACGCTATTCTGAACCAAACAAAACAACCGTTGGCGCGTAAAAAAAAACCGCTACTGCTCATTTATCGCGAGCGAGAGTACAAATCTACATGTCGACTGATTTGCGAGTGTGAAAAAAGAAGAATAAGAGGCCGAGGGCACGTGAAAAGATGTAGCATTTTTTAAGTGTGAAAATTTTCAAGTTAACAGAAGGATGTGTTGTGAGGTAGCGATAAAAGGCTCGTGTCTTCGCTATTATCGTGAAAGTAAGATTTTCTTAATTTATTATGGTAAATGCATTTTAGAAGCCGACTTATGCGCCATATTTTAATTATAGCGATTATTTTTAAGTACTTAAGATAAACTGTTTGAGCTGAATATTTATGCATTATGAATTAGCAAGTTCACGATATAAGCGATTCACATTAATTCATTGGAATAAAATGAATGAATAAGCGCTAATGAGTTTCAAACATTAACATTATTCCATTAGTTTTGTTAAATAAAAGCAAATTAATCTCAACCCCTTGTAATACGCTCCTTCAGAAACGCTATGTCGTCCTTCTTTAGAAACTCTCATTTTTTAATGAAATTCGATTAAATTTACAATGTGCATGTATTATGTGTAACATATGTTACTTAAATAATTCCGCCGAA